TCGCAAAGCATCTGTTATGCGATTTCTAGACGATTTATAAGCATCCCAGTAATTTTCCGATTTGTATTTTATTGCAAGAAGTTTTAGACGATCTCGTTGACGATCCCCTGCGCGCAGATTTATTCCTGCGTGCAGATTTATTTCTGCGTGCAGATTTATTCCTGCGTGCAGATTTATTCCTGCGTGCAGATTTATGTCTGCGCGCAGATTTATTTCTGCGTGCAGATTTATTTCTGCGTGCAGATTTATTCATGCGCGCAGATTTATTCCTGCGTGCAGATTTATTCCTGCGTGCAGATTTATTTCTGCGTGCAGATTTATTCCTGCGCGCAGATTTATTCCTGCGTGCAGATTTATTCCTGCGCGCAGATTTATTTCTGCGTGCAGATTTATTCCTGCGCGCAGATTTATTCCTGCGTGCAAATTTATTCCTGTGCAATTTTAGCCTCTGAAAACAAAATTAAACAATAAATATTGCCATCTGCATACGTTTAATACTTTAATGTGCTCGGATATAATTTAACACATATTGAATATATTATACATATTTAAAATTTTTGTAAGTGTTTAAAATAAGTAAAAGTGTCCTGTGTTCGAGGTTTCAAATTAAACATAAGCTTGACTTTCAATTGTAATATTACTGTATACACTAGCTAAGGGTAGAACTAACAATAAAATGGAAATATTATGGTACACTGTGTCAAAATGGAAAGGCATGATATTTCCAATATTCTACACCTAGTCCTAGGCTCTCAGAACTTCTTTAAAGAAAATGTGAAATATTGTGAGCAGATCATGGATAGTTTCTTGATCTAAGTTTTTACCATCATCACATAACTTGTGCCAGCATTCAGGGAATGGTACGGGGATTACATGAAGTATAGGAACACCTGAAAAGAATTTTTGGACAATCAATTGGGGTTTATTGTTTTGTTACTTAATGTACACTCGGCATAGCTAACAGAAATAGATATTTGATCATGATATTTTGTCATGATTTGACTCAAGTGGGGGTCATTCAACTGAGGTCAATTAAAACAACAAAGAAACAAAATGGCTGTCAACGCATCTTATGTAAATGAGTTCTCCAACTACACGGCCAAAAATGCACAGGTTGTTGCAAGTTGATATTGACAGGCGTGAACAATGTTGTGTGGCGCCAGCTATGAACAAGTTGTCAACCATGTTGTTCTAAGTTGTTACAGTTGAACAATGTTGTAACAACATGTTGACAATACTGTTCATAGTGGGCCGCACAACCTTGTTCATGCCTGTCGATATCAACTTGCAACAAGTTGTTGATTTTCTCAATTTTTAAGCGTGTATATTAAAGGCAGCACAGACGCTTGACTCCCACATGACGTCTTGTGAAACTCAAGGAATTGTAGATTTGTAGAACTGTATAGAACAAGTTACCTTTTCTCAGGAATGGCACATGATCATCTTCAATGCCAAGAGGTTGTGGTGTACCTCCAGTGAAGAAACGATTATTTTCTGAGACTGAACCTCGTAGTTTTCGAACTCTTCCTTCTGCAAAGTTTAAACCTGTCTATGAAATCACATGTAATTATTTCTATGAATTAATGATCATGCACATTCTTACCTATGTGCCGCAAGCGTTCAAAATAGCCATGCGTTTCTGGAAATCCACTATAAAATCTTGGATTTTTTTCACCAAGAAGATCAAGTAACATAAGAAATTCCTAAAAAAGAAAGAATGTTAGTACACATCACTTTTATTTGTGACTGTTCATCGCTAGATACCAATGAGAGTACATAACATTGTACTTACAATTTTTGAAAGATGCGTATTATAATTTGCATCTGGTTGTGACCACAGCTGAGCTAAATGTCTTGAACCATATATTGAGTCATCTTCAGTCCATGTCACAAATGCTTCTTCACCATCAAACAAAGCCACCTGAATACTGTAGTTATTATTCTAAAAAAATTAGTTTGGTTAACCCATTGACATGCTTTCCCTTGATCAGTAAAATTGTTTGGCATTGGACAAATACAAAGTAGGGCACATTAACATGCAATGCTAGCTAAAGGGTTAGATAGCTAATTATGGTTTAAAGAAATCCATGTAATGATCTAAAAAACTTTAAACCATTGCAATCAGTAAAATATCTAGTAATTCTGGTGCCAAAACAAATTTTAATATCACTTCATATTCGGTATGCAAGTTTGTTCGTTTGTTTGGAATTATAAGGCCATATAAAAAAAAATAGTTGGTTAGCGTCCTTAGCTTTTGCCAAAAAGTGGGCGGGCGGGCACTTTTTTTAAAATTTTTACTAATTTTTAACGTCTTGGTTTTAGGTCCAAAACTAGATTTTCTTGCGCAGTACAGATATTTTTTTATATATTTCAACATATGATTCATACCGTCATTTTCGCACGCAATTTTGCAACTTATTAACACAATTGACTACAGTCAACAGAAATACTACATATATTAGAGCCCGTTGATCAATAAAAGTTGTTTTTTTTTTAAAATAAAAAATAAAAAAACCCCTGAGCGGGGCCTTTTTTGTGGGCGGGCGAGGACGCTAACCAACTTCTTTTTTTTTTGGCCTAAGCCTTGGTATTTATTCAATAATAGTGGTATGTCTTCACACTTGTGGTGTACTTCACATGCTATAGGGTACCGCACCAGGTCTGGCTTAACCACTATGTTGGTAGGTTTCACTAAGCATTAGAGGGATAGCAGATTGTGGTCAACTTGTACATGATTGATCTTATTTATGGCACTGTACGACTGGAACCAACTGCATACCATACTAATTAAGTAATTAATATGTAATTAACATATTTCCACACCTTTTTTAATTGATTGAGATCAAGACCCTTTGCAATTGACATGATCATAGCACAAGGGACAGCAGAGTCAGTCGCAGCCAAGAACTCCTTATTTCCGTTCTGTTTTCCCGTCATGATCTTGCTGTCGTAATGTGCAGTTAGTAACATAAATTTCTTTGCATCTGGGTTGGCAGTTGCAATTATATTGGTGAAGCGTTTTGGACCAATCACTGTGTTTTTATCAAACTCGTCTAAAGTGACCTGCCATCCCAAGTCTGTGAAGAACTTGATTAAATACTAGAAAGAAAAAAATTGGGAAAAAGGTTACCAAAAACCATCTGAAAAAAATGGAGAAAAAACTTTTTTAAACATATTTGCTACAGTTAGCTTCTTAACCTTTTAATTATAGTTTCAAATACAGAACTTTGTATTATTTTTGTAAGCGGTCTGCTTTCTGAACAAATTATTCAAGCGTGTGATGCACTTACTTGATGTTTCCAGCGCTTTGCGGCAATGCTTCACAATTTCGCAAATATTTGGCAATACTATACTGCCATGATTTTGCTTCTATATTGTTGAGTTTCAAACAGTTTTCTGATTTTTTGTCGAAACAAAACTTGGTTGAATCGGTTTTCAAAAATAATCGGGTTTTTTTCAGTTTATCGATAAACCCCCAGACCTTATAAGAAGGTTAATGTTTTAATAAAGAAAATTACATTGGACTTCCAAGTACACTAAAATAATATGGTGTTACACAGGGTGCATTAATGGGTTTACAAGGGACACACGCTAATAGTTTGAATGTGCAAGGCTTGACAAAGTGAATTATTAAATGTTACACAGACTATAAATGGGATGCACTGGGGTGCTTTGCAAACAGAGGCAATTTTAGTGTTGAATCATTTATCTGATGGACATATATGCAAATTTTGTTAATTGAACAATATTGCTAAGCTTAATGGCAATATACTGCACTTCTTAAATCTCCATAGTATAATCGAACACATTTTGCAAATAGTTCTTCTTTGTAATATATAATTATCTTAGTTCTATATTTTAAAACTTTTCTTGTTTATATATATATACATCGCATATAACCTGCATGCATATTATTATTGTATAATCTTTTGTATTTGTATAGTTTTCTCAGGGACCTTCTGAAAAACACAACTTGTGATGTTGGTTTTCCTGAATAAATACTATTATCAATCAATCAATCAATCAATCATATGAAGTGCATGGCCATTTACTGGCCCATTAGGACGTTTAAACCTAATGAGCATTAGGGAGTCCCAAAGGTTTCCAGGGAACAACACCAGAAGGTAGCAGAAAATAAGAGAATGCCGGGAAGAACATGGAACAGACTCCCGGGAGACCCTCCCATAGTTTTAACTTGTTTTTTCAAGGATTAAATTAGGAATCAGATCATCATCACAAAACGTTTTGAATTTCTAGTCATCAGAATACAATACATACAAATGTGCTATTAACCACATAAAGAGCCAAACCAATTCTTCTGTTTGAAAGAGACATTGGACTGAATGTGGTAGACCATGCAATTGCATAACAAGTCTACGATAGTAAGATATCTATTCATTGATGGCTCCAAACTCACTTGAAATTAGAGCATGAAACTTGAAGTTACTGAAGTACCTGTTTTACAGCATGGTGACCATTAGTGCCAGGAACACGACTTTTCATAATAGGAGCAAGTAAAGTTTCAAATTCATCATAATCTGTCGACTCTGCAATGCGCTTTAGTCGTGTTGAAGATAAAGTACGGGGCTTTATTACAGAGACCTGCAGAGCAAGGATAAAAAGCGCATTATAAAAAACTTGACCTTTATTAATACATCATACAGTAACAAATTACATACTTTAGATTTCGCTTTAGATATTTATGTAACACATTTAGGTAAAAAAGAAATATTTTCTACTATAAGACACTGTCATATTGACACAACTGAATTTAGTAGAACAGTTAGTTTTGTTTATAAGAACGAGAACTACTGTACCTGATTCGTGCTTGAGAGCTGGTTTAGTACGACGAACAGCACAATAATAATATTGTTCATACAAAACATCCTTCAAATATTTGCTAGAACCTAGCTTGATTTCAACGCAAATTTTGAACCTTTGAACAACTGTTTCCCTTGAAGAGAGAAGTTGTTAGCCGATATAACAGGTGCAAACTGTCACAAATGAATTATCGGTCCTAATTATCAGCTGTTCCTGTTTTAAAATTTCAAATTTTGTGAATTTAAAATAGACCATATTGTCTTCTTGCTCCAACGCTTTGCCATATATGGTGTTGTTGCCTGCACACGGGCAATTAGCAAGGCAGGTGGTGAGTGGGCGGGCGTCCTTGAAAAAACGTCATCAAATCATTGCCGCTTTCTTGCCAAGAGCATTTGAAGGTACGTTTTAATCAACTCAGACAGCCAAAAGCTGAACTACGTAAAACATTCAAATACTCTCTTGTCAAATACTGACGTTCCCGCGTGAGACTAGACGATGTTTTTGTGTCTGCGGCTTGTTCACCGTAATTAGACGCAAATTAAGCTAATTGTTATTCATCCCGCCTCCAAATTGTGTGGGCAAATATTGCCTGTAGCTTTCTTTGCACTTTTTCAGCAGTTGTTGTCATTGTAGTTTCTTGTTATTATTGATGCACCTGACATGCCCAGTAAAAGATTAGTGATGTCAAGAGGAAACTTTTCCTTAAATATTCCTCGCTGTAAAATTCCCTAAAAAACACTTTTCAATGTGGCGGAGGGAAGTGATTCATCCCAATTTTTGTTTATTTTGATTTCAAAAATTCACTTCTATTCCCAATATTCATATTTCTACCATCAATATTTATATTTATTTATCACACCAAACACAGTATTCAATATTCATCTTCCAAGACTGATTATGCTGTTTATTGCAAACATTACTGCCTCTAAAGACAAAATAAATTATCAACTACCATTTTAATTTCTTCTTACGAGCTGTAATATTGCATAACCATATTTTGGTATGCCTGACTTGATATATTAGTGTTTATTACAAATATTAACCCTAATAAATTATAAATAAATTATTTACTACAGACTGTATGTACAGTATTATTCGAATTACGTAATCCCCTTATTATTTGGTGATATTATTTGATCGCTATTTCCGCATTCTTGATCAGGATGTGAACCAACCTCGTACCCAGGGTATTTGCTCTTGGGAAGCGAAATACCCTGGTATGGGCTGGTCACGTGACCCGCGGATTTTGCGTAAAATGGCGTATTGTTTACTAGGGTTGGGGGAGTGAGTATATATTGTGACAATTAATTAGAT